GAGAGTATGGGACTGGGAACATGCTGTATTCCACTCAACTGCTCTATCGATTCTCCTGCATGACCACTACACCAGCCCTGGGACTTCCGGTGTAATGAGTTGTTCTGAGATGAAAAACCCACTCAATCAGCTCAATGAGCAGCCATAAGCCTCCATCACCTACTGGTTTGTCTTCATTCCTCATACTTGCTGCACTTGTGTTAATTCAAAGCAGCTACATAATGTAGAAACTTGCATTTAAAAGGCTTTCCAGCTGATATGTGAACTTGAAAGCACCCAGTGTTGGTAGTCTACATCTTCACTGGTTCTCAACAAAGTAAACAAGTCTTTGTGAATGGCATCAGTCTGAGGTGGGAACAGCAAACACTCAGAGCAAAAGCTCTATTATACTGTCCTATTGCCATGGCTGCCAAACTTGTGAAAAACCACGGCTGAAGTCATCCCTAAAGCAGTTGCTACTACAGGTTATGACTTCAAAGACTAAAAAAACTGAGTTCAGGCATATGTCTGGACATTTATAAGGTTTAAATAAGCCTCTTAATTTCATGGCAAAATGATAAAAACCCTAACTAGTGAGGTCCCCCATTGCTTTGAGAGGTGATGTTGCAGGGAGGGACTAGGCCGATCCATACAGTAGTTAAAACAAAACTGCACAATTTTAAAAAATGATATTGAAAACAGTAGAGGACCAATGAGGGAAGAAACAAAGGAGTAGGATGAATCGCTAAATGGAATTACTAAGTCTGGTTAACTGGAATTACTGACTTTATAACATTTCTAAATAAAACTCATGTAATTTATTATAAGCCAATGATAACACCATATTGGTGTTATCAACACAAGATGAAGACAAATCTTTTAATGTGATTTCAAAACATTTCAATTTGGGCTTCAAATGCATTTTGGAGGAAGTAGCTCTTCTACCCTAGTTCTGTATTATTAAAGCCACGCAAGGCTTCCATTTTTTTCAGGTGGAAGGTGCAGGAAATCGGTGGAGAAAGGAGGGTGCGGGAGGGGGTTGGAGAAGAGCAGCAATATTAAAGTAGTTTAATTAGATCTTTATGGTTAATCCCCCTTCCATATAATTGCAACTACTTACTCTTTGGTTTTTGTGGAGGTGACGGAAGAGGTTAAACAAAAAAATCCCAAAGTATGAATTAGAGTGAACCACCTGAGTTCTGTAAATGGAAGGCATGCAGTGCTTAAGCACATGTTGAAGTTTATGCACCTCGACTGGCCTTCACCACTCTCCCTAACACCCAAAACATATGCCTCTATTAGGATGCTCTTCCATATCATCTGTTCTTTTTAGCTCTTCCCATCACCCACACCTTAAACCTTATATCCCATGATAGGTACTATCACCAGCATGTTGTAGGGAAGAAAGTGGTGGAGCCGAGATTGGAATGCGGCAACCTGATCCCTGAGACCATACTCCTTGGTGGTATCTGAAGTTATAGTAGGAGACCTGATTTCCCACATTTCCCAGGGACTGAAAGTTATTTCTGATTCACATTAACAAGACATATTAGAGCCTTGGATCTATGTTGTGAATACACAAATTTTATTAATTCCTTGTAATAGATACTGAGCTGAAATTCAATGACTAATTGAATTCATGCCGTATACACATATTCCTGTCTTGGATTTTCTATCAGCAAACATCTCATTCAATAGTTCTTGGGGGATTCAGAAAATGAAACTCCATTATTGACAACAAAATGAGTACATGTGAAGTTTTTCAAACCTAGTGAAACTGCTTGAAAATAATAACGTCTCATTAACAACAGGCAAATCAAATTAAACCAACAACTGAGCAGGTTTAAGGGAGGCTTCCCTCAAAAACTTTGAAGAGAAATTAGTCTTCAGAATTTACTTTTGAGACTGATGGATCACAGTGAACAAGTCACCTTTGTAAGAAAAAATTGTTCCTAGCCACACAACCTTCAATGTACCTTGTGTAACAACCTAAGAATCGTTAGGCAGAACAGATACTGTTAAATTACATAGACCACAAAAGGGGCCACAAAAAGAGCCACAGGCGCAAAGGCTAGCTCTGTGCAACTCTACATTGTGGAAAAATGAATGCATGGCATCAGACTGAAAACACTTTGAGCATCCAAGACCCACTGGCTGTAAAGATGTTTCAGTGGCAAACTTCTTTTACAAAATAAGCAACATGTCAGCTTACACTGATCCAATTTCAGACATAACATAGCTGAATTTTAAATTCTCAAATGAACACATTTGTATAGTAACTTGGCACCCTGAGCAGCCAGGGACAGAATGTGCTGCTTTTCTAATGTAAAAATGCCTGTCTAAACCAGCCCATTATGAACGAATTCGTGCACGGGTGGGGTCCCTTGGCCTGGCCAGCAACTGGGGCCGATCAGGGCTGTCTAGTCCAGTCTGGGGCGGGGGAGGGACCACAAGAGGTTGGCTGGCCACACGATGTTGGCGGTGGGAGCACACTGACCCCCGGGGGCAGCTCCTGCATTGAGCGTCTGCCCCCTGGTGGTCAGTGCGCATCCCCGGCCAGTTGATTTGTTGACCAGTTGTAATGGTCACTTCGGCTTTTATATATATGACTAGAGGCCTGGTGCACAAAAATTTGTGCACTGGGAGGGGGTGTCCCTCAGCCCGGCCTGTGCCCTCTCGCAGTCTGGGACCCCTCGGGGGATGCCCACTTGCCAGCAAGGAGCAGACCTTAGCTGCAGTCGGACATCCTTAGCGCTACTGAGGCGGGAGAGGCTCCCGCCACCACCGCTGTGCTGGCAGCCGTCAGCCTAGCTTGTGGCTGAGCAGAGTTCCCCATGTGTGAGTGCCCTGACCACCAGAGGGCAGCTCCTGCATTGAGCGTCTGCCCCCTGGTGGTCAGTGTGTGTCATAGTGACCAGTCATTCCCAGTCGTTCTGCTGGTAGGGTCAATTTGCATATTACCCTTTATTATATAGGATGGGCACATGAGACAGCAAGATGCCTACAATTACCTAGCAATTTTGGCATGGTACTAGGTAAGAAACAATTACTTTCTATTTAGATAAAATTTGGGAAGAGTGAGATTTCTTGACAATACAACCTTCTTCCTTTACAGATAATATACCATGTTAAAAAAGTCCTTATTTCCAAAGCCCTAAAATATCTCATCAATCAAGGGTACTTAAAGAGTACATAACAGTCATTCACTGTTTATTTCTAAGGTTGGTTAAAGGGATAAAAATCAGCAATTTTAACTGATCAAATATAACAAAAATGTGCTTTAAGTGCTTTTAAGGCAAAGCATTCAATAACAAAAAACCACTTTAAATTGGTTATCTAAAATAGAACTAGTCATTTCTTTAGTTCTAAGGGGATAGACAGGCCAAAATTAAGGTATCCAACTGACAAGAGGAAAATCCTGATGTCCTATCCCAAATTAAATTACATCAGGCTGGAGGGAGGGAGAGACAGGAAAATAATCTGTTAACAGAGCCTAGGAATGAAACCAACAAGACTGTTCATATACCTGAATGTATGTTGAAACTGGGAATTAACTTCCAGGTTCCTATGATCTAGAGAACAGCCGTCATCAGATGATGTCTCATCCAGTTTACACATGAATATTCCAAACTGTTGCCCACAACCAATACAAAAGCATCAAATACCTTTCCTTTACAGCCTATCCTAGGATGGTCCCCGTTTCACCTTTCCCAGCCCCTTTTATCTAGAGCCAATGTGAATTCTTTCATAATCTCTTACACTTTTCTTCCCCAGACTCATTGTATGAAAGAGCCTCACCCACCCCAGGATGGTGGCTTAGACTGTATGCCCCAGGACCTGACCCTTACTCTGGCTAGTCTTTTTTTTCAGAAAACCTTTCAGTTTTGAAGATTTCTAAGAGTACAAAGTAATGTAAACACCCCTCATGAAATTCTGTATGAAAGCAGGTATCACGGTAGAAATTTTCTTGGACTCTTATGAACTCTAATCAGAATGAATAGCAGGCTCATAGGAAGAGCCAGCTGCATCTATAAATACACTCAAAGATAAAATTAGGGATGATTTATATGACTTTTCAGTATTTAAAAACCTGCAATAAGGAACCTCGGATTTAAACAAGAAAAAATAACTAGGATTTTTGCAAGGTCTTCCCAATAAAGACTACTGCCAGTTTTGTAAAGAAGGCCTCCAGGAAAATTTCTGTGAAAAGATATTCCTTTGTTTTGGTTCTAAAATACTGTGTTTTAAAGTAGCTAAGGCAAATATTAGGGGGCACAGCTCAATGTTGGAAAGTTGGTCGAAAGAGGTAGAAGTAAAGCTTTTGTATGCAGTGTGCTTCTGCATAAAGGTAACAACCTATGACCTGGGGAGAACACAACTAAAAAATGAATCACTCTTTTATACGCTGTTAAAAGATAATGCTTTTTAATATTTCAAATAGTTTTAAAAATCTCATCAAAAATGTTTCACCTTAACAGTACTTTGCACATGTGGAATTTCATACCTAAATTTGGTGATACTATTTTGGTTCATTTATGGCTACTTACAAGAAGACTCAGAAATAATGTCCATTCTCTAGAGTCTTTTTCTTTGGTTGAGCCTACTGGGACCAGGCTGATGAGACAGCTAAAGCAAATTCATGGTAATATGAATTATGTGAATTTTCACTGAATGGAGTTGAAACTTAAAAGGATTTCCATATTTATCCCCTTCATGGTTTTGGAAGCTAATGTCCCGTTCAGAAGTTAAGGAGTTTGAACAGCTCACACAATCCTGTAAAAATTACAACTGGCTGCCCTTTAATAAATAAAGTCATTGTAAAGATTTACATTTACAGAGTGAAAAGTGAATACATAGCATTTTAAATTCAATTTTGGAAGTACTAATAAGTACTGACCCATAACAATATACACTAGCCAACTTTTTAACTGTCCATCATTAGCACCAATAAAGATTCAACAAAATTACTTTTATTCCCACATCTCAAAACAATTCTGCAAATTCTTTGTGAAGTTTAAGTATAGTCACAGACCTTAAATATTCACATTGTTTTCTATGTCATACTGAAAATATGTTCACTAATTTTCTGGATATTCTTTACAAAATCTTATTAAAATTCCTGGTATTATCATCCCTAAGTATACAGTAGCATAACCACACTATGTAGTTTCACATGATAGCTCCTTAGAGGTTTCACATCTAAATTACCAAGAACAAAACCCTTCCCTCCCTCATTCTGTACTCAGCTTAATTCTATATACTAGTCCTTGGATTATGTACCACTGTCAAAGTATAACTGCATCAAAATTATGTTTGTGGATAACAATAATATGCCATACAGAACAACAAAGTTACACATAATGACAAAGATTACTAAAGTTATGCAAGACAAACAAATGTTAGGACATGCTAGCTAGGGAAAGTCCCTAGAAAGAAGCTCCTACTATACTAAATTCAAATAACATTAACAAAATAACAAACAATTATCTTTTAAAAAATTATAAAGCTATTGGCAAATTAGGTAATTACTAAATAAAAGTAGAGCACAAGATTAAACTCTCATATTTACAACTGCAACATACTTGAATAAAATTACAATTGTGCACATATCAGTGGCTTTTTAAAACAAAAATAAATCATATACATAGAGGAAAAATGAAGACAGCTTTCAGTTCAACAGAAGCTGAATTCAACCCATCTCAAAGATACTCAACAGCTCAAAGATTTACCACAGAATAAATAGAAGACTCACTGATAAACCAGGGCCGTATTACTGCTGTTTAAAACAAATTTTAAACAAATTAATGTCTATTGTTTATTCAAAGTCAGATGACTGTGCCAAAATGACCTCAACAGGGCTATACTGAGACGTGCAAGCAAATGTAAAACCTCCACTAGCTGTCTACCTTTTTTTCCTCAGAGGTTCCTGATAAGCTATAAATACAGATACAATGCACAGTGATCTTTTCTTTTTATTTATTGTTAGAATATAAAAGAACTGAGAGAGTAATAGTTTTAATTTTATTTTTAAAGGAAGACTGAATTTACCTGAAAAAGAAATGTGGCATCACACACAAACAAGCTTGAGGGGAGGAGTATGTTTGAGAATACACTGTCATTCCGAATGCTGAAGGAAACGCGATCCCTATTTACTGTTAAACTATGTAGTGTTGACGTTTTTTCTTTAAGGAAAAAACTTAATTTTTCACTATGTACTTTTTGTGAATTTAGTTTTCAAATCACAGTAATCTACATAACCATTATTAACAGCTCCGTGTTATAGTACTGCAACAAACCAACAAACATTTAACTGCACTTCACATCAAGAGTATGTAAACTTAATTTTTTCCTCTTCAAGCCTTTAGAAAACTAGGGGCTATTTCAGCAGCCAATCTGGTCAGAACCTCTGAAGGCAGGTCAGTGCCTCACAGTGTAAGTGACCATCTGTGGCACTGCATACCCATCAGGTATTGAAGCGTCCCCCTTCAGAGGCTTCCAGTAAGGCCTAGAGTTTAAGGTTAACATGAAAAGTGCCACCTTTGTTTTAGATTAGTGATGGACTCTGACAAGATAAAATAAAGTTATTCTGTATATTGTTATACTTACAAGCAGCTCCAATCCTGAGTATTTATGGTAATATCTAAACATACAAAAATGTATGTACATTTTTCTCCACTTTCCTGTAAACTGTTTTCAGTATACTGTTTTATCCCTTTAACATTGAAACATGCAAATCATACATACAAGTATAAATACACAAAAGAAAACAATTTACACTCATTCAAAAGTCAAGCAACAACAAAAATAATATAGCTACAGTATTCAAATTATAAATAACAAATGCTTGAGGCATCTTATATTCCTAGAAGCAGCCAGCCATTCATCCTAATGTTCTCAGCTGCAATTGTAGAAATACTGAGTTTTGCACCTTCCATGCTTTTACAGTATTTATAACACTATCATATGTGGAGATAAAGACTTGTTTACTATAATCTCTTCTTTTCAGAATGAAGAATAAAGCAGCACTTACAAATATTGAAACAGTGGCAGCAACGGCAGGTGTTACCACTGCTAGATCAGGAGGATTCCATTCTAACAATCTTTAAATTAAAAAAGGAAAGGAAAAATTGACCTAAACAAACAATTACATGTTCATTCCTTGGGCACTTAACAGCGAGTCCAGCATGTCGTATGTGTCTTTGTAGTCCATATGCTGGCTGTTTGTACTGTACTCGTGATGGACATCAGGACCGTTGGTCTCCACTGGCTTCTTGTCCAGTTTCACGAGGGTGCTGAGATGTCCGTAGCCCACCTGGTATGTGACAGGGGGAGGGGGTAAGGGATGGTTAAAAACAGAGTTGTGAGAGGATATATACTGCTTAACAGAGGAGGAAGAACTAGATGAACTACCTGAACTTTTGGAACTTTTGCTCATTTTGGCGTGATGGTTGTGAGATGCATCATTGACATGCAGCTTCTTCCTTGAAGAGCTGGAACTAGAGGAAATGCCATCACTGCTCAGGCCAACAGGACTCCTCAGAACAGTGGGTGGTATTCCATCAGCACTGTGTTTACTGCCACCACTGCTGCTGCCACTGTGTGAGTGGGAATGCTTGTGACTGCTGGGGTGGTGGCGGTTGGAGGGATGTTCCTTGTGCTTATCTTTATGGTCTCTGCTAATATGTGGGCTGGAATGCTTGCTCTTCCCACTGCCTTCATCAGAAGAGCTGTGCCTTTCTGAAGAAACTTTTATCTTCATTTTCAGTTCTTCTTTACTGGCACTTTTATCAGTGGGTGGTAATGGGATCCGTAATTTCAGCGATCCACTTTTTTCCTTCTTATCTGCCATATATTTTTCAGGTTTTTCTGCATTTGTGATGGGAATTTTCATTTTAATGGGAGAAGTTACAGAGCTGCTGCTGGTTGCCTGCGACTGAATGTGTTTGTGTTGCTGTTCTGCCTGGGCAGCTATATAATGATCCCTGACATCCAGATCAAGGGTTTCTAGCTTACGTTTTTCTCTGTATTTATCTAAAGACATCTTCTGAGGAATAACTCCTGGAGTAGCAGATATTGGTCCATGGTGCTTACTGCTCCCTGCTTTATGAGTATATTCTTGCTTAATAGAAGAATGATCAGAAATTTTGTCAGGTCTGTGATGCAATCCTGAATGCAGGGAGAGAGAAGGTCCCTGCTGGAAGTTGATGTTGTACTGGCTACCAGACAGAGATGTCTCCTGTTTCTGTGAATATATCTGCTCGGTCCTTGCTGATTCTTGATGTTGAGGCCATTCTTGGTGTGATGACAAACTGTATGAGGTACCTGGCATTCCCGTTGCTAGTACTGACAAATTATCAGACGTATGGCTGTCTTGAACAGAAATATTTCCTGAATTCAGAGGTACTGGTGCAGGGAATGCTGATGTAGATGGTTTCTGAAAACTTGGGTTTGCAGGCACACCAGCAACACTATCTACTAAAATGGAATTTTGGACCAAAGATGAACCAAGAAGCGGTGTTTCCGATACTTGTCTATCTACTTTTGGTTTCTTAGCCGCCTGATCAGCCTGTTTAAATAAAACACAAAAGAAGCAATGACAACAAAGGAATTTAGTACACAATTCTTTGCTTATAAAAATTCTGTATTTATAAGCATAAAACAAGACTATAAAATGTTGAAAGCACTAATTTTGGAATTTGATACACAACCTAGCCTAGCCACTATTTGAGAAAGTAACTTAACTTGTCTAGGCTTTAACTTCCCCATTTGTAAAATGAGAAGAATATTTCCATCATTGTGAAGTTTATAAAAAATTTATAAAATACTCAGCAAAGTCCATTGGACATAGTAGTTGAATACAATATATGTGTATATAGCCTCTGATACATTATAATTATTCAGGAATACTGGAAATAAGAATATTTAACCCCCAAAATCAAACTGGTTAGCTTTGTAATTGTTAGATAAATGACAAATCGATAATCTTTTAAACCCTGCCAATTCTCTTACCCTCCAGTTTCGAATCTTCTTCAACCTACTAGGCGTTTTCTCCAGTATCTGTAGAAATTCATGTGTTAACTCTAAAAATAAAATTTAAATTTATAACTTAGAAGGTGCCTTTATGATTTAAATTTCTATCAAGTGAGCAATATTAAAAAAGTTCTCAAGAGTTCATCTACTTCAGTATCACCCTCCTATTCAACCTTCAGCATTTACAGTAGACATAGCTCTGAACTAGTATTTTTAAAGAAAATCACTCTCACACCCAAATTTTATATGCTTGCTCACAATCTCTGGAAAGTTTAGTAGCATTAAAAAAATATTCCCCCCAAATAAAAACCTCCACTAAGCAAAAACAATAATAATATTTGTTGCAGGCAAGATCCATCAATAGATTTAAAATTAGTGGGCAAAAGTTTGAGGAAAAAGAAGGATATTTGTATAATTCCAACGTATCTTCTTCAAGATATTAATTGCAAAGAGAAAAACAGTAACTTTACAATGGAGAAACACAGTAAATACCATTTTAACCAAGTGATGATGGTTATCATTACTAGCAATAAGAGGTATCAACATGATGTACCCCCAATAAGACCTAATCTAATAACAGACAAACATGGTAATTGACCGTACCTTCGCTACACTCCCATAGGCCAATCAGGGCGATATGCAAATTAACTGCTAACTAAGATGGTGGTTAACCGCCAACAAATATGGCGGCTAATTTGCATACTGTAGGCAGGGTAGGACAGCGCAAGCCGACATCCTGGCCCCCGTGTGCGACCGGGGGGCAGGCGGGGGCTGGGGCGAAGGCAAGTGGTGCCGATCGCCTCGCTGCAGCCCTCCCCCGCTCACCAGAGACAGGGGGCCCACTCCCGTGTGCGACCCAGGGGCGGGCGAGGGATCGGTGGCATCGCTTGCCTTAGCATGAGCTCCGCCTGCCCGCCAGGAGCCAGCCAACCCAGGGCCAGGAAAGTGGGACGTGACCCTGGAGCGCTGGAGCCACCCGGGCTCTCCCCGCTGTCCGCGCTTCATGAATCGCAAGTTTCTGTGGAGGCGGCGGCTGCAGGATGCAGAGCGGGAGATGGGAGCGGGCAGAGTGTGGTTCGGGCTCGGGCTTGATGGAGGGCACTGGCGTGGAGATCTCCCCAGCAGGCAGCGACTCCTCCCCCTGCTGCCAGGGAGATCTCCTCTGTGCCGGTGCCCTCTGTCGAGCCTGAGCCACACTCAGCCTGCTCCCATCGCCCGCTCTGCGTCCTGCAGCTGCCACCTCTGTGGAAACTTGCGATTCATGAAGCGAGGGCGGTGGGGAGGAGGAGGCACCTAAGAAGTCCCTGGCCACCGGCGCCGGGAGCTGGGAACTTTGTGCTGGGCGCTCCCGGGTGGCAGAGGGGAGCTGGGACTCTGGCCACCACCGCCGCCGCCCCCCAGCTGGCTACTGCTGCTGCTTTGGCTGCTGGAAGCTCTGCTGCTGCTTGGGGTCCAGGCGCAGGAGGCTGGCCTGGGACCTGGGCC